TTAGAATACCGTCCCTCGAAAATTTCTCCTCCAACTAGGAAAAAGCAGATGTATTCCAATGTCACCGTTCATAGCAAAGAACCTGTTTCTATTTTTCCATTGTGAAATTATGCAAACATTCAATTTTGCTTTCACTACAATTTTATCCGCGCGCCAATGTTATAATTCCGAGATTTGTTTTACTCCCAAACTGTGAATGAGCTGTTTCCTTATTTCAAACTATTTAATTTCTATCGTTTTCATCATGTTCAAGATTGCGTTTCATGGGGGGGAGGGGGGGGGGGTTGAATAATCACCTGCTAGAAAAGTCTTTTTGCCTAATTATTTTTGGAAAAATAGTAGTGATGGGCATATTTGATGAAATTCTTCCACCATTTGAATAAAAATTACAATAAACCCCTTGGGGGTAATCTACGTCTCCTCTTCTTTTTTCTTGATTTCATGCGTTGAAAAATGGCTGCAGCTACTGGTCCACTTTTAGAACTGGCATTTTTTTTTGAGAAGCAAATCCGTATTCCAAAAAAAATTGTTAAAATTTCCCCATATTCTAGAGGCGTGGATTAGGCTCGGACAAGCAGAAACCCGGAGAACGGACAAAGGTGAACGAAATGCTGAGACTTCGATTGGAGAAAGAGCATCGCTTGGACGGAGCCATCAGTGTCCAAGAGGTTTCTCGAATTCGATCCACAGATGTGTGTCTTAACGCCTTTGTCAATCGAGTCAAATCCATCGCCGCTGCAAATTTGCCTTCTAATGCGCCAGCCCCCTCTCCGTCTCCAACTCTCCCTCCTGCAACTACTAACACCGATACCGTCAATACTACTAATGGTGCTCTTTGTAGTACGTTTACTGAAGGTGGGTCTTTTATGAGTTTTTCCCCCTTTGTGCTCCTCAAAGGTGGCGTTTTCTGACCTTAGTGACGTCGAAAAGAAGGTTTGGTTAAATTGAGTGAGGGTTAACTTCTACTTCCTATTAGTGCTTTTACCTTACTGCAGACTGGACGTTTTTAATTTTTTACACTTTTTATTTGAAAGTTGGTTGCAATTTTAAGTGAATTCTAAATGGGGGTGATGGGTGAAGTGTAGCAAGCGAGTGTTCGCAGGTATTGTACTGGATTTTCTGATGGAGTTATGAAAAACGGGAATTGTAGCCATATACTATCACCTGTTGCAACAGGAAGTTATATACTAAAGCGCAAAGTATTGACACTTTTTCCTTCATTTTATTTACTTGATTCCATTTCCTGTTTCTTTTTCCCGCCAATTTCATGGAATCGCTAATGTTACCACACACGGTGTGATGGAGAATTGTGCCCAACTCGTCACTCTCCACTCACCCCTCCAAGGCCATTTCGCTTTATCAAGCCACTAGATCTCTCGTACCGCCTGGCATCAGCATAATAAGTGGTGTTGTAGGGTGACTCAGACACGCATATCAGATTTTGTGCGGTAGACAAAATGTCAGCTCAAATCTCAAGAGGAAGAAAGCTACCCACGCTTAGTTTGAGTAGGAGGTGTGGGTTTCCTTAATCCCCTTTGATGAGAATTTCACTCTCAGTTTCACTTCTCGTGTTCACAGGTGCTTAGGTCTTGTCACCAATGACAATGTTGCACCAAGACCACTATTGTGAGCATTTCTCACAAATGGTTGGTTCTATAGAATGGACATCATATTTAATGTGATCGATCTTTTTGCCCAAAGGTGGACAATCGTGTGCTTCCTCGCAGAAGCTTTTAGTTTGTGGATTATTTTTGGAAATGTGTTCTCTTTAATGGAAGATTTGAATTTCGGCTTGTCATTTAAGAAGATGGGCATCTGGCGCATATCTCGGGTGGAAGGAAGCAGTTATGAGTCACTATTTCTCGAATCTTCTTTCTTTAAATCCATTATAATTGGCACAAAACATTAGGTTCGGATACAAATTCATTTGTCCCATTTAAATTTCCTTCCGTTAAATCCGTTGACCCAAAATGACTTGTACAAGATTCATGTGTGTGTGTGTGTGCATGTGTGTGGCCAGGCTATCATATGATGCTTGTAGTACGGGTGTGATGGATGCCATCACTTTCCCAATGGGAAAGGTCAGACCTCGCACTATGCTGACCCTCCGCGGCACGGGTTCAATTCACGCGAATTCATAAACACAGAAATTCCCTAGTTTGTCTTTTCTTTTCACTGGAAATTGTGTGTCTGAGAGACTTCAACCTTTTCTCCTTTCATGACAAGTCACTGAATTGGATGTTTTGTAGTTGGCTTAATTCTTGTCAAAATTAAGTATGCCATTACTTTCGTTGTTTCCTCTAAACGTGGAAGAATAAAGTCCTTATACTTCGCTTATTTGAACTGTGCAACTTAGTTCTCGACTGGTGTAGGTGCTATCAATTCATTCAATTGACCTTTGGCGCCAGAACTATGCTCTGCAGTATTCCTACATTTATTAGTTTCAAATGGCAGGCGTTATGATAGCTATCATTAGCCATTTAGGTGACTTCGGGCTTCACAGAAGGAAGGTTCATCAAAGTAGCAGAAAGTCGAGGGGTGGGGATCAGAAGAGCGATTCACAGATGTAAAAGAGGCAGACAGACACAAAGGTAGGGAAAAAGGTAAGATGAGTACTGTGGAAGGGGTCGAATATGACAAATAGTCGGGCCATGGTAGTTTGGAGTGAGAAGTCAACTGCCGGTTAATACGTTGCCCAGGGTGCACGACGTGGAGGTAAGTCTATCGCACACCCCGTATTCCAACATTGGTTCGTACGAATACTTAGTCCATTCATCCATGCATTCATGCATTCCATTTCAGTTCTATCTGACGCAGGAACAATGACAATTTATTGGAAATTTCTTTCCTATTTTCAGTACAATTCCAAATAAGGCAAATTGCGTGTTTTTTTCCTTATATGGTTTAATCGAAGCCATTCGCCTTGATTTTGG